CGTTACAAAGTAAATTTTTCACAGATTTCCTCGATTCTAGATATACAATTTTAATAACTGAATAATCTGTATGAACATTGAAAATTATCATTGAAATTTGAACATTGAATTATCATTTAAATTAAATTTAAAGTTAATTTGTTATATTTTTTATTTGCATTATTAAATTCGCAATCCATCGAAATTGGAATCGACTAATTCTTTTTATGTACGTAATTTAATTATTAATGAATATTATTTTTCTTAAAGAATGGCCTACTATAATTACAACGATATCAATTTCTTTTCTTAAAAATCTTCTCTCTCAAATTTATACAATTCCACGTTAAGTATTCTATTATTTCGACGCATTCATTAACCATAATAAATCAATCCTATCATCATTACCATCATCCTTTACACTTTGATAAAACAATATCCGCATAAAATCATCCTCATTAATACCTCCTTCCAATTATATCGAATTTAGGCTATTTGCCTTTAATAATACATTCATTTTCCAGAAAAGAAAATCAATATAAAATAACGGATTGGACGTTGAGAAATATATTCTTAGGCGTTAATAATCGTTTTGCCACGACTCGATCCGACATCACCGTGCAATCTGGATCGGTGGCTAGGACTCCCGTGGAGCGAGACCGTCTACTCTTGTTACCTCTCTCGAGAGAATGCAAAGCGAGATGGTGACGTACACCCCGATGTAATTTCCAACGACGTATATACACCGCATACAACGAGCTAGCCACACCTCTGCGAATGCATCGCGCGTACAGTTCGAGTGCACAGGATGATTCACTTAAAGTGTTACGCGACGTCTTTTTCTGAAATGTTGCAGATGTTTCTTTGGTTAGACGTTGCAATTGTCATTTTTTTTTTCTTTTCTTCAATTTTATTTAGAAGTTGGAACGTTTGTGTCGATTTTTGAATCTTTGATCTTCGAATCGAGAAAAGGTTTCTTTCGTTTGAGTAAAATTGTATTGGAATTATTATTAATTGCATTATTATTAATTTAGAATTACTTTTTTTTTTTTATTGTTACCATTCTTGTGCATAAAAATTCAAATAAATTGAACAACGATTATCTGTCTTTAAATGCGTCTCACATAATTTAGGTTCACATTTGCAAATATCAATGTTGTTTGATTAAAATTAATTCATTAGTTATTGATTTCATATTCCTAAAAGAAATATTTCATTAAGAAACGACCTGGTTAACAGAATTATATATATTCCGCAATAATGGAATTAAATTCTTTTTAATATAAATGTACAAATATGTGCACGTATCGTAGTAATTAATGATGAAAAATTAAAATTTTTATTTCATCATAGATTATTATAAAATGTCATCGAAGAGAAGTATTTTTACAAATCGATTGTTTCGATAAGATATTAATTTCTTTGTTTTATATTATTATATGCCATATGTTTTTATTCCATAATTTTTGACAGATTGATTACTTCCTTAATTTGATTTTCTCAAATTTTATTAATATTATAACTTTTATAACCTTGTATCAAAGTTACAATTTGCGTAAGAGAATTATTTGAATTCAATATTTATTCATAATTAGTTTCGATACACAAACAATTAACAAAGCACAAAATAATATTGTTTTCAAAAACTTTAAATTAATGATTTAATAAATATAATTTTAACGAAAAATTTAGCTAAGTTGTGAATAATTTTAAACATATGCATAATAGGATCGTCACTTCAATATCTAATAATTTAATATATTCACTATTCGCCATTATTTTATTTTTATTTTTCCAAAAAATTTCATCATCTTCTTTTTCCATAAAAAATGTCAATTTTCTAACGTTTTATTTCTATTTTCTTCCACTTTTATTCCAATTTACTATGCATTATTTTTCCAAAAATCTTATCCTTCTTTCACGCAAAATTTCAATTTTCTTGTATTTTATTTTTCCTTATCTTTTATTCTACGTTTATTTTTACTTCTCTCTCATTTTATTTCTCTTTTCCTTGGTTCAGAACGTGATTGATACAAATAACATTATATTACAAAGCGAATGAAAATATCTTCTTTCTTTGCTCGTCTCCTTTACTGCGCGACATTTTACTCGATTGCGATTTTTTTCTATTTGTTGATTTATTTGCACGGAAATCAAATCGAGATTCCAAACAAAATGGTTATTTTTCACAAAATCCCCTCTCGATAATAAATTCCATTCTCTTTCCTTAAATACAAACACAATATTTTTCTTTCTTCTTTACTTTTCGTATAAATAATTCCACATCCCTATATAAAAACTTGGATATCACGGATGACCATGAAAATAATTCCTATAATATTTTATGCTGTTGTGTGCTGGTGATACGGGTTTGATACCCGTGTAGAATTTGATCGATACCACCTACGTCACCCTTGTATCTACTATAGTCTAAAACGATATTAGGCTTCTGTATATAGTTGTCCTATAGCGTGATCAATTTTAGTACATCACTTCACCATTTACAGGAAGTATTATACATCAATCAGGCGAATAAACAAGTCACAATTCGTATATCACATGAATGTTGAAAAGATTAAAGAGAAGGAAGTTTGTTTGCAATTATTGTAATTTAGTCAATCCCAAAAGTATTGAGAGATCGATATTCTAATTGGTTCATTTTTGTAATAAATATATGATGGAGGAAAAAAATGTATCACGTTATATTAAAATAATACGTAGCATGCAGAGTCTAAAAATAAATGAATGATTGATTTTTTATGTAAAGTTGTGTAATAATATGAAAAAAACTGAAAAAAAAAGAAATGTAAAATTTTACGTTATAAAAATAGAAGGAAAATTCGATAAGATTTAAATTAAAAGAAAAATTTCTTTTGATTTTTTTATTCAATCGATCTATTTTTATAATACTTTGATCGAATTATTTTTTAAATAAAATTTAATAATTATAATTTTTATTTTTATTTTTAATTAATTTATTAATTAATCATTTTTAATTAATTTATTAAAATAACAAAAATAAAATTAAACATTCAAAAGACTAATTATCAACTTTTTATTCGTGATTATAATTTTAGATCAAAGATATACAATGCTAAATCAATGAATGTAGATATGTATAACAATTTAATTTTAAAGCTAATTAAATTTTACTGAAATAAATGAGAATCATATTTAAATTATTCTCCGTTAAATTATATATTTTAATAATATTAAAATAACATATGCATTTTACATATAATTCAGAAAGAGTAAAGAATTAACTGAAAATGAATTAGAAAAATAATTGGAATAAATTACTCACGGTGGTAATTAATGTAAATAATGCTGCAAATTACATGTCATATTTTCTTGATAAAGAGAGGGAGAGCTTAGAGAGTTAATTGCAAGATATAGGAGCTTCAACCAAGTCGTAAAATCAAGCAGGCGTTAAAGTTTACTTGTTCGAATGTTTGAATGAGCGAATTAACAGAAACTTCAGAGAAGATAGAACTTTAGTTAGACTTGTTCTAATTATTCCTCAACTTTGCTCCATTCCTTATTGGAAATCGTAGAACGTTGGTAAGAAGAATTTATACTGGAAACCGGCATGATATTCATAAAGTAATGAATTTTTTTTTGATCTTGGTTATTTAACATAACGTTCAATCCAATTTATTGAACCACACAATTTTATAATAAGGACAATTGATGTAAAATGGTATTCAAATTATATTCAGTTGATTCAATTCGTCGGTACTGTTCTAATTCAATAATCTTTAATAAAAAAAGGAATACGAATACTTTACGTTTTGTATCAAAGCCAAAGCTCATGGGTCTTTTTACGAGTCACGAGAGGATCTGCACCCTCGTATCCTCCCTTCAATAGCACGTTAATACGTCATTACCCGAGGCGAGATGACTAAATCAACGATACTCAAGGTCCGTACAACCGATTAGCCGGCCAGGATCTAATTCCCCTCGTGTTCGAGGGCGGACGTTTCTCGCCCTCTAAGGCCGCCATTATATCGGTGAAAGGTTCCACGTATTGCTCGAGAGCCCGTTTGAACGGTTTTAGGGATTAGGTAGACCGGAAGTGGCGTGATTGCACGGTGTCAGAGACGATTATTGTTTGCCCTGTATATATATATATAGATATATATAGGGATATTTTTAGCAGATTCGAGGAAAGGGGGATTGAAGGGAAGATTGGTACTTTGGAGAGGGTGGTTCTTTGTCGGTGGGGTTGAAGCGGATTTTAAGGAGATTGGTTTGGTTATTGGATTCTGAACGGTTTATTGGCTTTTTCACATTGGAGTGTACAGTGACCCGTGTATTAATCTATTAAGTATCGAAGAAGGGAAGTTATTGTACAAGTTATTGTTTTGTTTAAATGCAGTGAGATATATATTTTTAAGAGAAGGGAGAAAAATGTTTTTATGCAGATTCAATTTCAATTTCAATCTTATAATTTTTCATCTACACCCGAGGTTGGAGATTCTTGTTATTTCCTGGAAATAAGATATTTGTTTTGAGAAATATCATTAGCTCGGAGGAGATTGAATTTTGTAAAACTTACCGTATGAAAAAAAAAAAAAAAAAAAAGAAATTGAACAAGAAATCTTCATCTTCACGAATATTATATTATATTATTATATTAAATTAAATTATATTATATTATATTATTATATAAATATTAAATTATATTATATTAAATAAATCAATTTTATCGATTGAACACAATACTTATAGGAATATATAATTTTAAAACTTCTAATCATTCACATCTTTACGTAAAACAACGTTGCACAGATTTTACGAGCGATGATACCTTATCTCATATAAATTTTTCTAAATCACGAGTCTCGGTTACCCGACTCTCCTTACTCGATAAAAAAAAAGAAAAAAAAAAAAAAAGGAGAGAGAAATTTTTATGAATGAACCACGTGAAAAATTCCTCGGGATCAGCGACGCTATAAATTCTTCCTCGCCGTGCATAGTTTCACGCGAGTTAAATTTTCACCGTGTTTTCTGCATTGCAGGCGGTGTCGGAGAGGCTCGAGTTGGCACCCGCTGGAGGAAGATCAGAGCCGCAGGTGAGTACCCACTTGAAAATGCACGCTTCCTTTTCCTTACGAATGCCATCAAGGCCGCATGCCACTTGGCGAATTTTGCATCGCCGCGAAATCCATCGTAGCGACACACGAGACGTCTGATAACGTTTCCATACGACAGGGCCTTTCCATTCCTCGTTCAACTGTATGTAAAATGGTTTCCTCTGTGAAAATTCCTCCGACAGAAACGTTCAATTTTCTTCGGGCGGGCGCACGAAGGTTTATTTGGAATTAAAACTCGTTTTTCATCAAGCTGGAAAAAGAGAAAGAGGAATAAAAAAGCTTCGGCTTTGTTCTTTTCCGGCTAATTCTCTGAAACGAAACGCGATGTATTTACGTTGGTAATTAGGTATATAACGAATGTATCTCTTTTTTCGCGGGGAAAATTCGTTTTATTTCGGTGGATTTGTAATTTAGAATAATTTAGAAACGGTGTTTCTGGAAATTTATCAACTTTAGAACTTCGAATTTTTTTCTTATTCGCATTATTTAAATACTGCTTCAAGTGTTTTTAATATTGAAAAATTACAGCTTCGATGAAGGTATCCAATATTAATCTTGATGTAATTTTAAATATTTTGGATACACCTTATTTAAAAGAGTTGTAACGTTTTGAAATTCAAATTTTAAATTTCCATTTCGTGTGTTACGGTTCACGTTAAACAAATTTTAATCAATCAACTCGAAATAAATTTTTCTCGATTAAAACTAAGCCGGCACGTGCATCACACTCGTGGATCCATCGATTCATTTGTCTAAAAAATTGTTTGTAATGTAAATTTAAATGTACGAGTGACAAAAGATGAGTTTTGCAAAGGTTGCCACATTGTGCGAGGCTGGAGAGGTGTATCTGGCACAACACATGGGAGAACAGGGACGCTGGGTCTCCTCGACCGACAAGAAGAGTTGCATGACGGACAAGTTGGAGATTCTCGAATATTGCAAGAAGGTAAGTCTATGGAAAGTCGATTCATAATATACAGTCTGTTGTCACAATTTATATTTGTGACTTTTGAATGGAATTGATTACCGTTAAGAATACCGTTTAGAGGTTAAAGATTTTCGCCATTTTTTTTTTTTTTTTTTTTTTAAATATCAATGTAGAATTTATTTCGTTCGTTATGAATTTTTCTCAGCATTTTAAGCTTTTCAAAATTTTTAAAGAATTCGTATTTATTCGTCGAAATCTCTTGTGTTGTTGTCCATTAGGTTAGAATAATAAATAGAGAAAAAAATCCTTGTCCAATTGTCCAATTTAATTGATGAGATCCATAGCTTTCATAATCTGATTGAAATAGATATATGTAGTTTTTCTATGTAATTACAGAGTAGCAAAGAATAATTTTTAATAATCGATGAATTAATTTTTACACGAGCTTTTACACGAGGATAAATTTCAATTGATGTAGAATGTTGGCTCTTGTTAAATTGTACAAGAATATATTGCAATTCCGTAAAAATATTTGCGTTTTACGAATTTAAAACCATCGTTAATCCGAGTGCAGTTGTGCGAATTGTACATCTGATACAATGGCACTTCTCGATATTTATATTGCGAATATGTACGATCATTCAAATCGTTAAAAAAAACTTTTAACCTTTAAGTAATATTGAAAGTATTGCTTTTTTTCATTATGAAAAAATTTTCAACTTTCAACAATCAAACTATTTCAATGAAAAAAAAATGTGATGTAAATTTTGTTTAAAGAAAAAAAATTTCGTTATTATAATTTATCTTAATTTCAAGATAATTCTTAAATTCAAGATAATTTCAAGATAAATTTTTCAAGAATTTCAAGATAAATAGTAATTAATTTAAAGTAACAATTGTAAGTAATTTTTTTCTCTTTGACTTCTCTTCCTTGTTTTTTTTTAACTACTTTTATTTAGACGAATTCTTATTCACCTTGTTTAATAAATTAATTAGTTTCCCTTCTTGAAAAAGCTTCTCTCTAAAAATCATTTTCTTCTTTCTCTCTCTCTCTCTCTCTCTCTCTTTCTTTTTTAATTCGTTTTGACCCATTTTCTCAGAATCTAAAAGAGCGTATCCAATTAAATTTTTTACGCCGATTCATAACAAGTTGCTAAATGTACTCTGTAAAGAACTTTGAAAAATAATGCTTACGTTGATTGAAAAAGATTGGTCAGTCATCACTTTTCAGAAAACTTTTTTCCCCAACTATATATATATATATAAAAATCCTCTTGACATGTTTATTTACGAAATCAAACGTTCAATTTATTTTCTATTGTTAACGGATTACACACACATGCACATACACATATTCCATCAAAGTTTGATAGAAAAGTTTGATGGTTTCAAAGGGAGGAAATGGGTCATCAATTTCGGAATACTCGCATAGGTTAGAATTTGATTGTGCATTTCCTTAAATTGATAGAATGGCTCGAGACGTTGCAAGTAATTTGCCTCTGTGAAACTTTAATTGATTTCAATTATTGCCCAAATTACATTCCAGTAAATTCTTCGAATATTCAAATCGGAATTACTTACCGTTCGAAGAATTTTTTTTCAACTTTCAACAATCAAACTATTTCAATATCGTAAATTTACTCAGTTTTGGTTCAAATATTTAACTTTGTGGCCCAAACTTCCAACATTCTGGATAAAATGATTTTATTGCTGACGAAATGAACACGAGACCGTGTACTAAAAAAATAAAAGTTATATTAAAATTAAATTTATTTTATTTAAAAATTACAGTGAAACCTCCTATACTCGTCATTAATCGTAATTCATCGAATCGAGGCTCAAAACAAAAAAATAAAATTTTAACCAGAAATTTAACTTTCATTGAAAAGCAATAAGAAACTTTTGTTAGACAATTATTGTTGATTGTACGAATATAGACGAATATTGAAATATAATTGAAAATTAATTAAATGCTTGTATATAACTGTTTATATGTTTCAATTCATGTAATATTCACTCGTGTTCTCAGGCTTACCCGAAAAGAGACATTACCAACATCGTAGAGTCGTCGCACTATGTAAGGGTGAGCGGATGGTGCAAGCCAGGAAGAACCAAATGCAAATTGTCACGTTGGGTCAAGCCGTACAGATGTCTCGGTACGTATTAGCATCAGAATTGCTTCTGTGATAAGTAATCTGGATAGACAGTGTTTCAGTTTTCATTTAACTCGGCTAGCTTGTTCGGGTTTAATAGAATTGACGTGGGTCTCTAGAACGATGAAAAATTAAATTTTTACGCGAGAGTTGAATTTTAGCAGGTATGCAAATTTGCAATGATAGCGAGATTGCATCTATGGATTGATTCTTCGTGTGAGGAAAAAAAAAAGAAAAAAAATTGAAGACCTGTAGTTTTTTTTCAATTCAAAGTTTCGCTTTCGTAATATCGAATTGAGAGAAAATGAAAAATTGAAAATTGAATTTTTGCATGAATAGATCCTTTTGCATTTGTAAAAACGCAATATAAATTTGTGTCCACGGAATTGAATATTTAAAGAAAAATTTGTTAAAATTAGAAAACAAACTTTTTGTAATCAAAAATATAAAGATATATATTTTTGAAAATTTTTAAATACGATATTTAGAGAGATTTATACATTGTAAAACGTATATTTTTATTATTACCGTCTTTAATAAAAGTATAGACGAGAAAAATAAAATTAATTTCGATGAGAATAAAATCGATGATTCAGAATATATTTTTTTTCAAACAAATTTGATATATTATTTTAAAACATTTGCATATTTTGATCAATATGTAATACAATTACTATTGCATATTTCGTATATATTTAAATAACGTTTCCTATTTTCTTTTTCTATTACATATTATACGTATTTCGCACAAAATTTATGAACTTGAATTTAAATATGTATGAGCGTATTTGTGTCAAAGTTTACCTGCGTACGTTCACCAACTAAAGCAGTCATACGTTTTAATGTGCTCTTTTCATGTTAACCGAAAGTATATTCTTCTCAATAAATATGATTAGCTGTACTTCTAAGTTATTGTACTATTAATAATCTCGCGATAACTGAAACGAATATATAATAATTAAAACTGTTTCTTGCTTGAAAAATTCAATATCAAAATCTACCATAAACAATTTTAAAGATATAAATTACGTTTCGTAATTTTCTGGCTTTTCAATCTCTTAAAAAAAAATTCTTTTTTTAAAAATTATAATTACTCGACACGATTATTAATTCTTTTACTTATTACAATATATATAATGGATGATTTTATTAAATCATAGAAGAGATCTCGTGCATTTTCTACAATCCCTTTCAAATTAAATTAACACCAAGACGAAAAGAAATCGACTATTATTCGATTAACACAATTTATACTCTTCGACAAACACAACCCTCCTTTCACTGAATTATACACACATATATATATATATACATACACATATATATATACGTCGAAAAAATTTCTTTCATTTTCCGGATTCGATGACTTCCCTCGTTAAATAAAGAATTGTCAATTTCCACTGATGAACACTGATAAACGAGACGCACTGAGAAAACTCGTAAAGATTATAATCCGCTCGCTATTATTGAAATCCTTTCCCTTCGAACAAGAGCATAAATTCAAACGCAGCTACGTGCACGTAATAGACGCATTAAACCGCGCGCGTAAAACTTTTACATTCGCCATTCATTGTCCTAATTAAGAGGATATTTGAACCATTAATACATGACACGGTAACTCGTTTTACGAGCGTTGAAACGTATTCCACCCTGCGCGACGTTGAATGTCACAGTGTTTCACGGTGTTTCGCAACCTCGATGCTTGTAATAATCGTTCGTTCGAGTTTACTTCTCCTTTGAAATGTCCTCGACAGCCAGGTTTATACACGATGCAATTTGTGTAATGTTATTCGATTTAAAATTCAAATCGTCCTACGATCATTCGAATCTTCTTTCCAATATAATATAACAACGCTTATAAACCGTTAATATACTTTTCTCAACTTCGTTTATCGGCAATCGATGTTAATTCCGTTCGAGGATCATTATTTAATCCGTGTAGCAAGAAATATATATATATATATATATATTTATGTTTCGTAATTGAGATTTTTATATCTCCCCTTCGTTAGATATCGAATTTTATCTCCGTTTAACGGAGAGTCGATTTTAAATTCGATAGGAAATGGTTTATCGATATAATTGAATTTTTATGGTAATGATGCTAATTAATCTGCTCTTCAATCGTGTCAGTTATCTGTGAGCGATATGTGGATTTGTTTCACCATTTCACCTCAATGACAGAGATCTTTTATTTAAACCAATATGTTCAATAACCATAGGTATAATAAAAGTGATTTATTAAATGTATTTGTATATTGGCTGTACATTTTTCACAATATTGCGTGAATGAAATGGCCGAATTCTTAATGAGATTTTTTTTACATTTATAATCATACCTTGAATAAAATAAAAATATTTTATTATTATCTTTTATTTTTATTTTACTGTACTACCCCTATCGTAAATAATTGGTAAATACACACATACACAATAATTATAGAATCAGAATAAATCAATCATTACGAAAAGAGTGCATTATCAGAATTATTCATTTTTCCAGCTTCTTGTTTCTCGATTTCCAATTCAACAAAAATTTAAAACAGGGATAAATTAAAAAGAGCAGCGTAGTATCACAACAACCCTATACAACTTTCATAACCAATACTTAATTATTCGATATACCTGTGACGCACACATCACCCCCATACAATTTTCAACCTAGCGAACGATTAATAACCAAATATTCCCATGATGCATTACCTTAAGGATCACTCACTTCTGTAACTTTCAATCTACACAGCAAACGTTTAATAATCAAACATTCCCGTGGCGTGTACACTGTACATATATATATATATACATACGTAGTTACAACATTTGAAACGAACGAAATCCCACGAGATGGTGGAAATACCATCTTAGAAACATGATAATACACGAGAGAGCAATCCCAGAGCGGAGTCACTCTGATTTGCAGTTTCTGCCGTATTGATTCCTTCGGGTTGTGTCGAGTGCCAAGCGTTAAGGGGTTGAGTAGACAACTATGGATCTATAACGTGCGACGCGATTTCTGCCTCTCTCTCTCTCTCTCTCTCTCTCTCTCTCTCTCTCTCTCTCTCTCTCTC